CCATTAAGTCGGCTCCCTCTTGGGAGCCGGCTCATGTCGTTCCCTTCAAAGAGCCGGCTCCAAGAGCCGGCTCGTTCGCGAACGACACATCACTACTTGTTTCAAATGTCAAGGCATCGCTGTCTATGTGTTATTTATTTCTTTATTTATTTTTTGGAAGTATCAATGCATCACTCTGCGTCTTTTAGTCAAATTGATAGGATTGCCCCACCCCCCTCCCCTGCAGAATTTACGCACCTTGCACATTATCGCGGTGAGGAAAAACCTTTTGCAGCTCTCGTTTCCAAAATGTAGGCGCCGCGTTCGCCGAGGAGTAGCTAGCGTAGCTTGATGGCAAGCGGCAGCGCGATGGCAGATTTCAGATGGGGTTTTTCCCCCTTTGGACTTCAGAACAATTTGATTGAACAATTTTTTTGTTTCTCTTGTTCAACAACAGTTGCTCTATTCGGTGATTGCGCGCGTGCGCCGATGGCGTTCCGCATTAGTCGAACGCGCCTCGCCACAGCCGAGGGCCGCCGAGACTGCGTGTCATTCTCACACGGACGGCAGCCTGAATACGAAAAGCGAGGGAAAGCGAGTGAGTACGTCGTGGTCGGACGGAGGGGGGTACGCGGCGCGAGGGGGCGTGCGTGCGACTGTGAGACCGCACACTTATGTGGGCTTTACGATTCCGTGCGCGCAAGCTCTGAGGTGAATAAAATTCGAGGGTAAATTATCTCTTGCGGCAGGGTCGCAGGTGGATTAGATGCCGGCGCCCTCCTCCTCCTCCTCTTTCTTATCTTTGAATTTGTGATTATCGCGTAGACACCATCGTTCACGTGTGAAGAGGAAAGCGCCGAGCGCCGGTCAAACGCCATTTGCGCACCGAAACAGCAGCGCCTCGTCAGGCGCGTCGGCAGACTTGGAGGTTCTTTCAATGGCTAATCAAGATGATCTCGCGTCATGACGATCGCTCGCCTTGCGTGAATGCGGCGCAATTTTTCCTCCGTACACCTACGGAGTGCTGCAACCAGCGATCGCTCATTTCAATAAAGTCATTGATGAATCGGATTAAAAATCTACACATCGCATCTCTACCTGTTCATTCAAAAACAGGAAATTGGTTCAAATCCATCATGTTGCAAAAAAATTTTTTTGGAGTTCATGTTTTCAACACAAAGACGAAGAGTCCGACATCACGGAGTACAATCCGAAATCGTATTTGTTGTTGAGGAAGCTGAAATTGCGGGCACTTGGAACATTTCTCATTGAAAAGTGGATCTCAGCGATGAAGCGATGATGACAGCCTAACTTGGCAACGGATGCCCCCCCCCCCCCCGTTGCAGAGACTGAGTGAGTCGATGGGAGTGTGCGCCGACCACCGCTGACGCGACGTTGAGAAATTGGCCGTTAGGATTTCAGGAGCAACATTCGCCTACCGTAGCATGAGTGGAAACGATCCGGTGGAGACCAATCCCGAGAGACACGTGCGTGCACAACGTGCTGCCTTAAAAACAACAAATCAGAAGCACCCTCCCCCACTCCCCACCAAGTGGATTATTATGAATTTGACGACAGGAAAAACATTTTATGGGGGCAATTGCCCCTCTCATCAGGTTAACGTCTTGCAAAACACTATTCGAAGAGGCAAAAAAAAAAAAAAGTAGCTGATGGCCCAATCCTAATGATTTGTACTGGTTGTAGTTCATGTCATTTTTTTGGAAAAACATGACCAGGGTCGTGCTGACTTAATAGATTAATCGTGCTTAAGATAGCACTTGCTCAAAGGCAAAAGGACTCTGTGCACACGTGTGTGTGTGTGTGTGTCTCTGTTTGCAGCTGGTATCGATTTATGCAGGCCGGAGTGGTGACACCGCCCCTGTCATCAGTCTCTGCCCGGCAACGCACACACACACACAGGAACAACTAAAAGAGTCTTGCCGTAGTGTTGTTCTCACTGCACGGCTGAGTGCGGCGCAAAGCAATAAGGTGGCCTAATGGTTCATAAATGCGCTCGCAGCCCGCAAGGTCAGATTGTGTGTGTGTGTGTGTGTGTGTGTGTGTGTGTGTGTGTGTGTGTGTGTGTGCGCGCGCGCGCGCGTAGAGGAAGAAGATGTTGCGAAAGGAAAACCTTTTTGAAGACCAAGCAGTCCTCCACGTGCTCGGCGTAGACAGAGGTGAGTCGGTACTGGTTCTCGATGGGCATGTCCAGCTGGTAGCCGGTCAGGATGTAGCAGACGGTGCGGAACTCCTGGATCTTCTGCTTGAAAACCTCCTTGAGACGCTGGTTCTTCAGCTCCAACAGCTCGATCTGCTTCAACAAATCTGTGAGGGGGGGCGGGGGGTGCAAATGATGTATTGTTTTTCCACTCCTCTTTAGGAATAGCACCCTGCTTCAGCTTGGGGGTTGACTTTGGCATATCGGCCAGTAGGAGTTTGTTAGAGTACAGCTCCAAAATGGCGGCTTCAGAACAAAATGGACGACTTCATATTTTGAGACCTTTTTCTGTCCACTCAATTCAGTCAAATTGGGTCAGGGACAATCGCTGGGACTGAGGGGGTTGCTCCAGTGAAAACGGTTGCGATTTCATGAGTTAACACTGAACTGTTGTGTCCTTGACTGTTCGAACTGAGTTGCCGAGCAAAACCGCAGCACCCAACTGCCATGCCTCTCCACTGTCGAGCGTTCCGGGAATCGGGCTGCTCATTTTGACATTAAACCAAAACAAACGGCCACGTGAACAAAACCAATGAGCGAAAAAGCGGCGGGCTTCTCACCGAGGACCTCCTTGGGCGGCGGCAGGCTCAGGTTGGCCGAGTGCAGGGCGGCGTCGGCGCGGGCCCCGTGGCCCGCCTCCTGCACTTTGCGCACCACGTCGCGGAGGCGCTCCACTTCCTGTCGCAGGGCCTCGGTCTCCTGCTGCCTCTGCTGCTTGGCCACCGCCGTGGGGTTCGTCTTGAAGTGGAGCACGCGGGTCTTGAGGGGGTCGTAGTCGCCCTGAGGGATCGCAATCGATGAATCGAGATACGGTGGATGGCGACGGCTCTGATGGCGAGCAGCGATTGCAAACTTCAAGGTGACCTTTCTTTTTTTCATACTTTTTGGGGGAGAGTGAAACTGAGTGGACGCTTTGATCAAAACAACAATGGCGGCGATTGTTAAACTGCGATCGTTGCTGGAAAAAAAGATTTACCGTAGTTGTTTTTTTTTTTGACCAAGAAATTTCCTTGCGTCCCAAAAACGCACATCATTTGGAACTTTGCGTCTGGCGGGAAAATTCTGCATCTAGGACGCGGGACGCAGAGGGAACGAGATGGCTGCACTCACGGCCTGGCCCGCGAGAGGGCTCGGAGAGGCGGGAAGAAGAAGGCACTTACCTGTAGGTTGAGTCTCTCCAGCCGCATCTCCAGCATTTCGTTCTGCTCCTGCAAACGCTGTCGCTCCGCCTCCAAATCTTCAATTTTCTGCCTGGAAAATATCAACAGGGTTTGGACCCGATGAGCCCCATTGACGGTCAATCGCCGCTCGTTGCGCAAAAAGCCGAGCGCCCGACGGCGGTTGGCCGGGGTGGGCGTCGCCACCCACCTGAGCATGGTGACCTCCTCTTTGCTCGCCGGGGGGACGACATCATCTGCGGAGGTCTGCAGCTTCTTCAGCGTTTCCATCTCAAACTGCGTCTGTAACGGAGGGGTGTGTACATATTTACACACATACACACAAAGACATGTATCGCTCGCTGGTATCATCAGCCTTCCCGAATACCCGAGACACCGAAAGAGGGGCGGTATCGGTCTGACGCGATACCTGATATCGGGACTCGCGTTTGCCACGAAACCAGATCCTCAAAGTTCCTCGGATGGTGGTGGAAAAGAAGCAAATGAATCTCCATCTGAGGTGTGCGCGCCAAGATCTCCCGTGTGCGTTTTTGTTGTGATGTGGCAACATTTTCTGGGAAGGTTCCCTCTTTTTCCATTTCCACACCAATTTGCCTCCTTTCGCTGACAGCATCTGCCGCTAATCCTCGCCGCCGCCTCCCGGAGACAGATAAGTCATTACCGCTCTGGCAGACAGGTGGATTTCACGCGTCAATGGCTACTCGCCGCCCGCGTTGACGTCTCCCCGGCAACGAAGGGCCATTAAAATGTAGGATGGAGCGCGCGCGGACGTGGTGACAGTCAAAGTTAAAGAAGGCGAGCGCAGGGGCGCACGTCTGTCTACTCCTCGAGAGAAGACGTACGGTGAGCAGACTAGAACGTGACACTGTACCGTGTAAAAGATTCGTATATGAATTCATATCATGCCAGCCCTTTTTTTTTCTCAAATTGGGAGAGGCGGTGCCAGCCAGTTTGGACCATTTTACTCATTTTTAAGGGCTAACCGAAAACGGAGGTCTAGAGTTACATAAACATGGAACCAAAAGAAAGCTTTCACCGTCTTCTTTCATCAGGAAAAAAAAAGTCAACCTTTTACCATTCTTGAGTAAACAGCAGTTGAACATTGGCAGGTTTCTTGGAAATGCTCGTTTCCGAGAAATACTCAAGAGAAAAAGAGCTTTTTGTGCAAGGACGCATTTCAAGCAGAACGTTCACTTTGATCCTATTTTTTTGGGAGGGGGGGGTTACATTTGTGAGACCGCAAAAATCAAAACAATGCTTTCCTTCTAAATAACAACATAACCGACACAAAAAAAAAAAGGATGTGTGCATGTGAATGGACGGGCTGACGGTTACAGTGAATCTGAAGGGAACTGTTTTATACAACGCATTTTCATTTTGATTTAATTTTGGTCCCAAGCCCCCCACCCCCATCGATTATTGTTATTGCATCAGTTTTCATTCCTTATAATAACCTCAGACATAAAAGTATCTTGAGATTATTTGTATGTGTGGAAGGGCTTGCAAAGAAATGTTGATGCAAGAAAAAACCTCCGAACTTTTGCTCTGTCGTTTTTCAGCGCGGGAACCGAAATCCAAACTGTACCGCGACTACAATGGCGCGGCATTAACAAATGGAGCTTTTTTTTGCCGTGCCGTCGATATTTTTAGCCGGCGCTTGAAGACAGGAGACGTTTTTTACAGCGCAAAGCAAATCGTGAGGTCAAAGAAAGCGAGGCATCTGACGGCACCACTCGACTAATTTGCAGCTCGATGCTTGTTTTGCAAACGCGTGGGCTTGAAATGGGGGGCGCGGCGGGGGGTTGAACGGAAAATTGCGCAGGGGAGGGTGTGCGTGAATATATTCGGACTTACGGTCTGAAGCTGTAGTTTAAGTGCGCCGGTCTCGTCCTGTGCTTTGGTGAGCTGGACCTGAGATCATCAACACAACACAATAAAAGGAATCACCTCTTGCATTTTTTTGAAACGTCTTAAGATGTTGCCGGAGTGCGTAATCTGTTGAAGTGCTCCATCTCAGAGATCTTTGTGTGGTGGGGAGGAGCCAAGTACAGCCTGAATCGGCGAGAGTTTCTTGGCTGCGTTTGCACTCCCAAAAATAAATGGCTGACAGATGATATGAGTTGGAAAAACTGCAGCCGGAGCCTGCCGACGTTTGGTGGGTGCTCGGTCTCGAGTGGTCGCTTGGCGCCCGCCCACCCAGCAATCTAGAGAACCCGCCTTCACACTGCTGCTCGCAGGGCCAGCTTGCGGCCCGCGGGCGGTGTTAGCTCGTAGGAGCAGGAGGAGGTAACGCATACGTCACTATGTTACTTTCTTTTGACAGCCGGCCCTCAGCCAGGTTCAAATGCAACCATTTGCCGCGACGCCTTCTTCATGAGCAACGTCAGACTTTGGTGGCGGAAGTGCATCCTCATCACATTCAAAATGGCGCATTGATTTTAAAATCATCTAAAACACCATCACTAAAACACCAGCACCTGACGGCCCAGGAAGCATTTATTTCAAAAGAACAAGACGACTATTTGTGTGTATGTGTATGTCAGATTTTGGAAAAAAGGCCAGAGTCGACATTGGGAAAAATGCTGAATTTCAGCATCAATAATCGGTGGATCCCTCGAGGAGGCTCAGAGTTATGGCACTGTACTGGAATAAGCGAGCACGCAGGGCGAAAACCAGGCTGATTCGGAGTAGAACCGCTACAGTGGACATTTTGGAGCCATTTTAGTGCGAGACAAAAAAATAGGTGTGTATATATCTGCGAGAGAGTTCCCCAACGGCGAGTGGGCCATCAAAACGGCGACCGCCACACACCTGCATCTCAGCGTTGAAGCTCTGCGTCTTGTGAAGCACTTCCTCCGCCTCCTTCAGACGCTTGCTGAGCTGCGGCGAGTGCTCGGCCGGCGCCAGCTCGCCATCGTACGACTCCAGGATGGAGCGCATGCCGTCGCGTTCCTGCAACACACGCACGCACACACATTAACCGAGTGGGAAATCTCCTTCCAGATCTCCTCGCGACTTGAGGTTTTTTTTTTCTGACACCTAACATTTGTAAACGAAAATGAAGCGTTTCTCGTTTTTGCTATTTCCCCGATTGGCCTGCCACTTGTCAGCAGTTGGCATGTGACAGACAGGCAAAGGCTTTCTCCCCCCCCCCCCCGCCCGCTTTTTGTTTTTTTTATG